ATAAAAAACGCATAGTCATTTTAAAAAAAATTAATTGTATAATAAACTGCAACGCTTTTTAAAAGGCACGGTTTAAATGCAAACGGGTTTGATTAGATTGGACTAACTGATAAATATAAAATTATAATGATAAACCATATAATTATTTAACTGATAAAAAATAAAGTTATTACACTCTAAATTATTGCATAATAACTTTTACTTTATGTAATGTATTATATATTAATTACTTTAATATATTATTCACTTTTATTGTCGAATTTGTATCTGTTGTAACGAATTTTAAAATGCCTGCATTCTATTACAATAAGAAGTTATAAAACATTTTTTATAATTTTTTTTTTTTTTTTTTTTATCAAATAAGTAACGATGTTAATAATAATTAAATGGATAGCTAAAGTGAAAACCCAAAGACAACGCTCGTTTAAAGAATTTTTTTACGGCGCAATAAATGAGGCTTGTTATTCATATATTAATGTAACATTAACGTTACAAACATATGCTTGTAACAAGTTTTTAATGAAAAAAAAAAAAAAAAAGATTGCTTGTGCAAACACCAAAAGTTCTCGTAAAAAGATGTCTAGAGAAGCATGGCTCGCCACGTTCGTTTTAGGAGAGCTTTTCTTCGCTCTCGCTCTCATTTACTCCCGCCGAGGCCTGATTGTCTATATACTTTAAACAAAAATTAATAACTTTTTTTTTTTACTAACCAACGTATATCAAAAAGCTATTGATAATAACTTGGAGGGAGGGAGAGCGCAATGAATGGGAGAAGCGCAGACAGTCTGTCTCTTAGCAATTAAATTTTTTAATCTTTTATTATAATACATCTATTTTATGTATAGAGCAATGTAGCATGTTTTTAGAAGTTCCATAAACATACTTTTAAGTGTCAGTTATTCTATGCTCGTAGCTCTATTGCTCACATTGTAACTCCTTTTAAACATACGGAGATTTAAACGTTTATAAGGGAGATCTGTATCAATCTACGGCTCGATTCATGGGTACATTGTACATGAAATCACATTGCTTAAATATTATAAATACGATTACATAAATCGAATAGTATTTCTATATAAGTTATGTTATTAAACGGGCTGGTAGCATCAATTCTTATTTTTTCACGTAATTTTTCGTAACTTCACGTAAGGTTTGTGTGGTAATTTATTATTTTTATTTTTTTTATAGTATGAAATAAAATATGACCTTCAAATATTTTCAAAAACGTAGAGTAACAGTAAACGCAGGGTAACTCTAAACATGGTCAAAACAGCATAATACAAAAAAGAGGAGACCCCATGCTCAGTTTTTTTTTTTTTTTTGTTACTTAGGTGCCCTAAGAAGACCTAACAGTCTTGTCACAGAGCACCGCAGAAGTGTATTTAATCAGGAAGTTCACGCCTCCTTCCTTACTGTGACGCGAAAATATGTCCAGAGCTCGTTTTGAACCTTCTTCTAAAGCAAGCGCTCTAACCACTGCGCCACAGTAGCACAAGTTTCAGACGTGCAATAGTGTAATGAAGCTGCGATTTTTGTTCACGATAAATTGATCCTACTTTTTCTGATAATTTTATGCAATCTTTTTTACCCCACATACGTAGGGCAATTCTGAACACCAATGGTTTTATTTTAGTCCTAAATTTTTATTTTCTAACAACATTTATAAAAACTATTTTTGAGAGGTTGTGACTGAATAGTTAAACTAATTTATAAGCAATAAATATATAATATCAATTTCTTATAACTGGTATCTTTAATTTCCAAACCCGCTTAGCTTTTTGCCAATACCCCTCTCTCGCCTACGTGAAGCGGAAAGTTAAAGAAAATAAGAAACGATAAACAAAATTTGGTTGTGAAAATCAAGTTTTTACGGTACGAGACGTTTATAAAGCATTGTAGCAATTCAATTTTGCCGAAGTAACAGTAGATGTCGCTAAGTAACAACAGTAGATGCAAAGTAACAACAGTAGATGCAAAGTAACAATAGTAGATGCAAAGTAACAACAGTAGATGTCGATAAGTAACAACAGTAGCTGTTGCAAAGTAACAACAGTAGATGTTGCAAAGTAACAACAGTAGATGCCATTTGCATAATAACTAGTAGCCAGTGCCGGATCAAAGAAGAGGGGGGGGGGGACTAGGGGGACTATAGCCCCGGTTAAAGGTCCTCTGAAAATTTTAGAGGACCTTTTTTTTTTTTTTTTAAGTCGTTTTTAGGCTCTGGCCCACAAAAAGGCCTCCAAAAATAAAAATAGCCCCGGGCCCCAAAAAGTCTTAATCCGCCACTGCTAGTAGCAGTAGTGACATCAGAGATGGACTTGTAAAAATATTTCTGTTAACATTTTTACAAGGTAAAAATACATTAATAATAGTTTAAAATACCAAGAAAAGATTGAGTTTGACTAGCGTATATTTTTGAATATCAAATTTCCAATCAGAGTTTGCTCTGTTGTTTGGAAATTTGATACCCTTTTGTCAATATTTGATTTATTTAGTGAGTCAAAAATGGATTTTTCTGTATCCCAATTCAAGCGCAGATGATTAAGTTTTTCATTTGGTATTATTTGATGGTTGTCTAGGGTTATCTTGCAATTAGTTACTTGTCATTTTTTTGTGCCGTTTATGTTTTTGTAAACATTACACGTTGATATAAGAATTTGAACACCAGATAAGCAGAATGATGTTGTCAGCATAAGCAACAACACCTGTGAAGTTTCCATGTGTAAAAGTACCAACAAAGTTATCATTTTTTATAGTTTTAAGTAACTTTTGGGTGCATATGTTATACAAGTGGGGTGACAAAAATCGAATACAAAATTTTGGAAAGGTAAGAGAAAGTTGCACTACTGTTGTAATATAAAGAAGATACAGTGTTAACTATTTAAAGAGGTAGGTTTACTATCAAAGTAAAGTTTATCAAAGAGAATATTCCAGTTGCAGCTGTCAAAAGCTTTTTCAGCATCTAGCGGACATAAGTAAAAAGACGAATTGTTGTTGTTCTAATGTCTATTCGTTTCACTTATAAAAAATTCAACATGCCAAGTCGAACTCTAAAAATTCAACATGCCAAGTCGAATTGAATGAGATGCATTTGTTATTGTTTTGAAGTTGTTAAAATCGTTAAAAAATTAAAATTACGCCAATTAACGATTTTGATTTAATTGTATTCTAGTCTTTAGTAATCATGTAAGATCCAAAAAATTATAATGTTATTACTTAGTGTTTTGTCGTAAATACTGTCGTGTCAAATACTTGTCGTATCAAATACTTGTCGTGTCAAATACTTGTCGTAAATACTGTCGTGTCAAAAAAATGTCGTAAATATATCTCCAACAAAATAGATTATGATTTCCAAATTAAATAGGTTTAACAAGTTATTAAGTGACAAATTAAACTTTTTGTTAAGATATTTTATGTTAAGATATGTTGAAATGAGGAGGGCGATAAATAACAGTCAATAAAAGTGTTTTTAGAAATTTTAAGAATAATTTCAAAACATTAACATTCAATGTTGCTAGTTTCTAAGCCTTCTCGTCTTCTATAACATATTTTCTTATTTATGTAACTCTTTCTAGAAATTTTTTATTTCTGGAAAACTGATAAAAACTTTAAAATTTCCAAAACCAAGTAAACAACTACGTCATATTGATGACGTCATATTCTGTATTGTATCAAGTCTACACCAAGTTCAAAAAGTAACTTCTGTTGTCTTTTGGTGGAAGTAATGTAAAAGATTTTCCCGCAAAAACGGTTTTTTTGCGATAGGGCTTTGCAGTGGCTTGTAAATAAATTTACAAGCCGCTTGTAAATAAATTTACAAGCCGCTTGTAAATAAATTTACAAGCCGCTTGTAAATAAATTTACAAGCCGCTGCAAGCCCTAAGTCGTCTTAGAATAGAAATCAGCTTCAAGTCGACTTTTTGTTCTAAGCGATCGAAAAGAGAAGTTTTTTTTGTCAAGACAGAGACTTGTGAGCAAATCAGCAAATAGAGCCATATTAGATGCATCTATGTCAGGAAGATTATTAATGTAGATAAGAAGCACGGGATCAAGGTTAGAACATGATCTTATATTGGAGAGTGATCTTATATTGGAGTTAGAAAGAAATACTTTAATTTCAAAAATTTTCCCGAATACACCATATGAAGCTAGCTTGTGGAGAAGACCAGCATGTCAAACTTTATCAAAAGGTTTTGATATGTCAACACCAACAGCCATTACCTTACCGTCTCTATCTAATACACTATAGAATCTTTTAGAGCTTACAGCAAGTCAGCCGCAGAACAAGAAGATTGAAAACTGTATTTATTTTCAGAGAGTAAGTTATTAGACTCAAGACGGGGTGTTAGAAGTGTGTTGATTATAGACTCAAAGACCTTGCTAATAATAAAGAAGACTGATCAGTTGGAGAGGTCAGAGTGTTTTTCAGAGTATTAAAAGAATTGAACCACATAAGCCATTTTCTGGCAGGCAGAAAAACAAGATTCAGTCAACTAAATATTAAATAGTTTAGAGATAATTAATGAGAATTCTGGAAAACACTTCTAAGACTATGACAAGAATGTTGTTTGGCCGTAGAAGAATTTTATTGAGAAATGACTTTTATAACGGTAGCCAGAGTGATTTGGATGTCTATACTAGAATGGCAGTAGGAATGCCATTGAATTTAAGAATCGAATTAGAGAAAAAGTTCTTTGCAAAAAGTTCTTCTTTATCATTGGATAGGTAATAAGATCAAACCCATGAAAGATGGAATGTTGGATTTTTCAAATAACTATAGAGCCTCACCTCTGAGATAAGATACGAGATTTAGTGAATAATGGAGTTCAGCATCAGGCAGCACCTTTTTACATTGATTTCTTTGAATAAAAAAAAGGCGTTTGTTCTCAAGTGAGTTGTGACATCATCCTAGATCAAGGTTGTGGTGATTTCTCCGCGACTGGTCCAATTTCCATCCATATATTTAACCTGCAAAATTTAACTTCGGATAAAAAAACAAACGATTTTCGCTATTATCAATTAATAAAATGTTTATAAAACACAACTATGTACAAATTTCACAAATTCATTGATAAATAGAAAAAAAATCAATACATTCTAAATGAATAGTTAAAACACATAAAAAATGTTGCAACTTTTAACAACGTCCATTGAAATATAAAAGCATAAGCATTATGGACTTTTCAACAATTTTACCATTAATCCGAATTGCTAAAAAGGTTGCTAAAAATCACCAATAGTTTCCTATTGACTACTTATACTATTTTATTTCCAATAACTTAATTGACATATGTAATAACGATTATAATAATGTGGAAATAGTTAATACAAGTAATTATTTACATAGTAAATGGTTTAAATGATTATACGGCCGACAAAGACCTTTCGCACAGCAATGGCTTCACCGACTCAATGTAAAATTAACTGCTTTATGGAATATGAATATAAATGTCAACTAAAAACGTGAGGTTTCTTTAGGTAATTGTGAGATGCGCATCCTTTGCACTCTAACCAAACCGAACGTAATTTTCGCTTTTACCATTAATCTTCCTCTAGAACTGTTTGGCTCAACTTAGAGTAACATTCTATACTAATGCAGTACTGATTTACACAACTCTCATTACGTCTGATCATAATGCCTTCTAGAGAGCGTCATGTAGACTACGTCGCATGATTTTAGAACATCTACAGCGTCGTTATGATGAATGTTAGTAAAGTCAATATCGTTGACCTAAATTAAAATAAAATTTTTGCAACTCTCTGTATAAAAAATTATTTAATTAATTTATATATAAAGAAAGTATATTAAATTTGTACCAAAATGAGTATTATTTAAAGAAAACCTTGTAGTTGTATAATATAGTTAATTATTCGAGTGTACATTTTTTTAAGATTCAAACTTTTCATGATTTTTTAACGGAATACTCGTTAAAACTAAATATTTTGTTATAAAAAGTCATAAAAATAGTGTATAAAATAAGTTTTATTAGGGTTTTAGAAACATTAGGAATTACTGCATTAAACATTAAACATATGGCAAAATATATCAGTTTGTAGATGTATTTATAACATAAAATGGATCCAAGTAATTAAAATCAATTATGTTATACTTTGTTTATATTATGTTATAAAAACAATTATGTTATAACAAACTCATATATTTTGTTAATAGCTTTAAATTAATTTATAATTATCAAAAACAGTTTTTGAGTTTTATCTAAAAACAGGAGATCTTGCTGAATTAACTCTAAACTGCATAGTTTCACAGGAAGACGTGCGATCGCATGTCATGACCAGGCAAATCTTTTTTTGACAATATGCGGCTATTTCAAAAATATTTTTAAAACGCGATGAATGAAAAATATTCTGAACTCTACCGTGAACTAAGGGGTGACTATGAACAGCGGGGTGAAAATGAACACCAATACTAGTTTTACAAAATGGTAAAGTAGCACATAAAATATAGTCATAAATTGAGATTTTTTTATTCACTTGCCTTAAATATAATATGTGGAAGGTAATTTTCGGCTGCCCTCAAAATTATCTTTTACCACCTTTTCACCATCGCATATAAACACTCTAAGTTACGTGGTTCGGGCAATTAACTCACTTATCAAGGAATATCTTAAGAATCTAAACGTCATTAAAGTAATATTTTTAAAATAATATAAAACCTAATTTCATTTTAAAATAATATTTTTTTAATATGAAATTAGGTTTTTCTTTCTTAATTTTAGAAACTACGCTTCGAAATTACAAAAGAAAGGAAAACAGTCGAGGTTATAAAACAAGTTACACAAAAAAAGACCTAGAAACAGCTGCATTTAAAATAAAAAACCATGGACTTACCATAAGGAAAGCTGCAAAAACATACAATATTCCATTAAAGTAAAGCTTTTGGATCAAGTTATAAAAAACGGGGAAACGCCAGACGAGACTTGATAGTAAAACCGAAAATTTCTTTGTCCAAACAATTATTGATAAGACTGACTGGAGAGATACATTTGAGTCTTTGAACATAAGACTTTTTAGTCAAATCTTATTGTGATAAAGTGAAGATTAATAACTCAATTTAAAAATAATATACCTGGGGTAGATTTGGTTCAGTCCTTCAGAAAGGAACATCGTTTAACAAATAGGGTTGCTGATAATTTAAAACATAAAGCCGTGGTAAATAAAGAAACCCTTCGCAAATATTTTGATAACTTGTTGATAAGAGTTGAAGGATATACCTCCAGAAAATATCTACAACTATGATGAGACCAATATAACAGATAATCCAGGGTCCAAATCCGTTATTGTTCGTCATGGCCATGGGAACTGCATTAAAAAAATAACAAGAGTATTCAAAGCAGTTGACCAGTTTAAGGTTTTCTGGCAATGCTGTCGGCGAATAATTTTTACCAGGCTTGAACTCAAGGTGGAACTGTTTATGATGTCACCCCTAATGGGTGGTTTGATGGTAGAATATTTACTAGATGGTTTACGGAAATATACTTGCCTGTTGCTATTTCAAAAGCCGGAACAACATTGTTGATTGGGGATAATCTTGGTTTACATTTTTCTCCTAAAGTTATTGAAGCCACTAATTTAACATAAAGTTTATAACATCTCTATATGTTTCTGTATTTAAAGGATTGAAGCAGTCTTGGAGGAGTATTCTTTTGAAGTGGAGAGTAGAAAGTTGTATCAAAGGAGCAATCCGAAAGGAACACCTACCTATGCTTTTAAACAAATTGAATAATACTTTGCAGCCAGAAGCTTTGATTAGTGGATTTCAAGCAACAGGGATCTACCCTATGAACAAAACAGAGATTATAAAACATCTTTAAGGAAAATATAAAGATCCTGGTAGTAAAGACACCCTAATGGTTCTTAATGAATCTGCTTCAAATTAGGCGCAAATCCACCTGCAAAATGCAAACCACGAGATAGTGATTAGTACTGTGCTTTATGTAACAAAAAAAGAGAAGAGTTAAGCGATGATGTATGGATTTAATGTGACAAATGCAATAAACCATATCACCTCCAGTGTTGTGACCTCATTTATGATAAAGATGATAATTATGAACTCAATATTAAAAATATCAACTATTTATGCAGCATGTGTGAGTTATTAGAGAAATTGGAGGATAGTGACAGTTGATGTTCTGTTTTATGTAGGATAGATTTGTGAATACTGTGATTCAAGATGTCATGAATATTGTTATGAATCAAGTCAAGATAAAGATTAAACTGAAAATAGTATCAAATATAAGTTTAAATCAAAGTTTCAATCGAAAATTTTAGTATGGATTGCAATCAGTAGATTTGGTAAACCAAATCCTTTCTTTGCAATTAAGAATAATGCCATTGATGCAAAAATATATTCCAAAGAATGCATTGAAAAGAAACTTGTTCCCTTTATCAATTCGCATCACAAAAATATAAAATATATATTTTGGCTTGATGGTGTCTTCATGCAAAGCTAACAATTGAAACTTATAAGAAGTTTAACACACGATTTTTTTTGTATAAGCAACTTAGAATTTTGGTCAGAACTCGAGTTGCTTATTTTTCAGCCAATTTCTATATCTCGAGTTGCTTAATGGTTGCTTAAGTTTCTTAGCCAAAATTTCAGTGTTTTTACGAATAAGAGACAAAATACGGTTTAATATTAAGTCTTTAACAGAAGAGTGCTCTTTACAACTAAAATCACTTAAATTCTAATTAAAAAAAAGATCACAAATGTTTCTCTCTTCTGCTAGATCTTTATTTTCTTCATCTCCACTTTCTTTATCTTCTTGTCTGTCTGATTTTTCTACTTGTCCATCTAGTTTCTCGTTTTCTCTGTCTGATTTGTCAGGCAAAACATCAATAGGGTTAATCTTTACTTTGTCTGGAATAGGAGTCTCTGTGATTTCCACCAGGTTGTCAATGTCAACAGGGGGTGAAACAACATAGGCAGGCATGCCTTCAGGATTTATCTTATTGTCCTCGCTACCATCAGTCGTGATAAGACATCCTGTTTTTGCAAAGCTCCTATAAAGCATACGAAAAAACTTCTTGTCTTTGGATGTTTTACGGTAAGCTTCACCAACCCGACGAGTTATCAAAATGTGGCGATCTTTTGCCGACAGTTTACAATCATCGTTGCCAAGCCAGAGTTCGATGTTTTCATCATTTTTGAGCCAGATGTTTTGTTCTGCTTTAATATGCGTTTGAATGCTTTTTCTGGCCCGGCATCAACAGGTTGCCAAAAATGTGTCCCGTTGGGAACACCAAACCAGACAATACCTTTATGTTGTCACACTTCATTAAAAAACTCATCACTGACTTAGGCTGTCAGGTTATCGCAGAACAAAACATACTCATCCAGGTTAGTGACAGGATTGGAGTGAGTGTTCTTCACCCATTTCACAGAAAACGCTGTATCTGCCCATGCATTTGGTTGCCAGTACACATCTACATCAGTGTCATAGGCTAAAACTTCATCTTGACTAATCCTTTTCCCCTAACCTCTGAAAGTCAATGCCGGCTATAGGATTCCTTCAGGACTGAAACATATTTGAAGGGTAGCTTGTCGCTTGAATTTGAATCGCTCGGACATACAACCACTCAAAGTTAACTTTAAGCCCTTTTTTCTTGCTTCGGAGAATTTGTCATAAAGTTTGTTAAACAAAGCTTTGTGTTTGTCGCCTCTTCCGCATTTTCTGAATAACACATTTTTCTTTTTTTCGTTGTACTTGTTGTAGATTTCTTTTTCCTTTGATTTCCATCGCGTTATCATAAACTTATGAACGTTATACTTTTTTGCTACATCCCTACTTAACATACCATTGTTTTAACGTATAGCTCTTCCGTTTGTCAGCAATTTTTGGTAATTCGTTAGCTTCAACATCAGTAACAAGCTTCTCTAAAACCGATTTCACAGTTTTTTCAATATTATTGTACTTGTTCTTTCCATCAATGATTTGATCTAAGCTCATTGATTTCGGGTCTTTGTCAGTTTGAGCAATATCTGTATGTGATAACTTATTTTTACACCAACACTCGTGCATCGAAAGGGCTTGTGATGTTTTCAGTGATTTTTTGCAAACAATACATTCAAACAAATTATCTTCTTTTCCCTTCGGCACTACATTTACCAACTCACCACGATGACAAATCTTTTTGGTAAAACCAAAGTTGAACAAATTTGTCTGCTTTCTCTTACTCATGATCTTAACAGCGTTATCAACAACATACACAACAACAACACTACTGTGATTACTTTCTTTTGAAATCGTTTATCTAAAATAAGTCATTACATTGCAGAGAAAAAAATTGCAATTTATAAGTTGCTTATGTTAACATTTGTTCAGAACTGAAGTTGCTTAATATTTTTTCACATCGAGTTCAGTTGTTTATAAACGAGTTGTTTATACAAAAAAAATCGTGTATAATCTATGTTTCTAAGTATGATAATCCACCAAATGTATCACAATTAAGGCCCATTGAGACATTTTAGGTTCACCTAAAACAGAGAGTTTACTCCAATGATTTCATGCAAAAAATCTTAACCACCTGAAAAAGAGAATTCAACTTAAGTTACGAGATTTCAGTCCAGAATACTTTGAAAACCTTCTTTGCTTGCTAAAGACTAAAACTCGCTACGCTGTTGATCACGGGACACTTTCAGTTATAAGATGATCTATTATTGCTATCCTTACTTATTTGATCAGTTGTGAAACAATAATATAATTTGAATAACAATTATAAGCAATTCTTTTTTGTGCAAATTTTTATTTGCTGTGTGTTATCGTAAATTCCATGGTCATCTATGTTCTTCTGAATTACTGTCCATTTCCTTGGGATTTGGTAATTTATTTTATTTTGTATTATTTTGTTGCATACACCAAGATAAATTCCATAATTAAAGCAAAACTGATCAACAATGTCCGTTAATTGCATGACTTTTTTGTTGATTGCTGCACCATCTTGAGTTGAACCTACTACATCTCTATTCATACAGACACCAAATGAATTCAAATGATACTTAATATTTTGAATTAAACTTTCAGCTGGACAGGAACCATAAATCTTAATGAGGCTAGTATTATAGGTTTTGCTACATTCGCTTTCATGCAGGTTAACACCAATGTACCCTATGTCCCTTAAAGATGTGTATTAATCATGAATTTAGCTGAATTTATGTCCTATTTATGTCTAATTTTTTCGATCATTTTTTGTTTCATCACTACTTTTTTATCAGAAAAAACTTTAAATTCATAAGAGTTGTTAGACTTTTAGGAAGATGATGGATGGATAATGATGGATGGATAATGATGGATGGATAATGATGGATGGATAATGATGGATGGATAATGATGGATGGATAATGATGGATGGATAATGATGGATTACTGACAGAAAAGTCACAATCTAACAACTCAACACTGACAGTGTTGTAATCAATGCAATTTAAATTTCCTCTTTGTTGAATTGATGAGTGAATAAATTTGTTGTTAGTTATCGCATAAATTAAAACACCATCTGTAGCTAGATCAGCTACAAGGCTTGTTTTTTGTAAATAACTGTCCATGGTTTTAATTTTTTTTTTCTGGTGGTGGATTTTAGCTGCTGGTTGATTCTCCAGTCAAAGGACGATCGATAGTAATTCCATGACGCAATATATGATTTTGCAAAGTAGTTGTGGATCCACCGGAGCTTGTTACAACAGAACCATATCTAACACAGATGCCCTCACTCAATGCAACTAAGGCATAGAACAAACAAACTCATTTAAAAAAAAAGCTGATAATTTAAAACAAATCCGATTGGTTGTTAGTGGCAAACCGAAAAACTTTTTATTTTTGGTATTTAATCTATGCAAACAAAGAATTCAAAAATAATGGCAAAATATTATAAACAACTGAAGGGTCTGTTATAACAGTTTTGCAGGAAGTATAACAATATAATTAAAAAGATATCTTGAAGTGTTTGTTTGACATAAATTATGAACCTAATTATATTTTAAAAAAATATGCTAATTTTAAAAGAAGTTGGAATGAATTATGTTATATATATTTCATTTTGTGCTAACAACAAAAAGTATTTATCTTAATACATAACTGAAGCCATAATAGCTATTTGCATCGACTAAGTGTTCAAAGATATAACTGTTTTTATAACAATGAGTTAAAAGTAACTTATGTTACTTATAAATTGTTTTAAAAATAAAAGAAACTAAATGTCAATTAAAGCTTACCACTGATATAAAAACAAAACAAGTTTGAACATGAAAGTAATTTCTTTATAAAGTTTACCTCCTCTGTTTTTTAATTGTTTATGCATTCTGAATGGAATAATTTATTAGTTCAAGATGGCCGAATAAGTCCAGAGTATTTCAAAAAATGATACTAAATACCAAAAACAGTTTTTTAAATGGGAATAAAAATTATGACTATTTATGTAAAAACAACTTTTGTATAAAAATTAACACTACCATAGGTTATCTGAATCTAATGTGACATTATTGTTAAACAAACTCATTTAGGTGTGGTATTGAAAATAATAACTTCAATTTTCATAAAAAAATGGTTTTTCATGGATAATGGGATAATTATCCCAAATAATGATTAGAAATTTCAAGTTACATTCATTGAAAACAAACACCAATACGTGCTTTTGAGAAAAATCAAATCCATTAACTTATCTATAGCCAAGCTCCAAGGTACTTCATGTTGAAAACTTCATTTTCTCTAAATAAAACTATGCTTGACGATTTGTTATTGTCGCATTATTTTTACCAGATTATAATAGTGGTTACAATAATCTTTCCATATATTCTAAATATGCCATACTTTTTAATGAAAAAACTTATATATATTGTAATTGAAAAAACTTATATTTTTGTTTGGAAACAAAAACATATACCATGCCTTAGTTGCATTGAGTCAGCATCTCTTGAATTTGGAAATTTTATGCCAGGTAGCAAATATCCAAACTGATGACATATTTAAAAAAAAAAAAATTTATGTTTTGTGTTTTATTCTTTATTCAAACATTTTTTTGGAATACTTAAATAATTTTGAAAATAAAAAACATGTAAAGTTTTCCAGCAAAATACAATCTAAATAATAAAATGAAACTTTAATTACTTTTAAATTTGTTTTTTTAATACCTTTCTATAATAAATAAACATTCAAATGACAAACAAAAAAAATCTCTAAAACCGTTATTGAAAACCAACGGTTTTCATTTATATTGGTTTTGACAAAAGACCACAATTTTTTGGTTATCGGTTAAAACTTTCTATGACAGCAAAAGTCTCTTTAAATAATTTTAATATAAGAATAATTAAAGTTTAAAAGATTAAATTTTCATTTAAAAAGATAAAAAAAAAAGACAAAAGTTTTTGAAAGCCGTTACAATTAAATAAGTTTGACAACTTCTCTCTCTCTCTCTCTCTCTCTCTCTCTCTCTCTCTCTATATATATATATATATATATATATATATATATATATATATATATATATATATATATATATATATATATATATATATATATATATATACATATATATATATATATATATATATATATATATATATATATATATATATATATATATATATATATATATATATATATATATATATATATATATATATATATATATATATATATATGTATATATATATATATATATGTATATATATATATGTATATATATATATATATGTATATATATGTATATATATATATATATATATATAGAGAGAGAGAGAGATCATGTTGCTTTAGTTAAGGGCTTTTTTTAATTTTCTCTTTTGTTAAGATTTTTTTTTCTTTTTTAGAGTAAAGTTTTTTATTTTAGTTAAGTTCAAGTAAGTTTTTTTTAGCGCATTTTTAAATTTCGAAAACATGTAAAAAGCCGTTGTAAAATTGTCAAAACAAAGTATTTTTTGCATGGTCATATAATTACGTGCGATAGCAAGTCTTCTTGTGAAACACTGAAACTGTGAATTTATTTTGGAGAAATTTGTAAGGCTATGACAGGAATTTTTTTTGGACCACAAGTTGTAGAAGAGTTTAATTAAGAAATGACCTTAGGAACGGAAGCTGGAGTGATTTGGATTTCTAAAAATGGGTTAACCTGTTTAATTGGAATGGCAGGTAAAGTAAGGCCATTAGATTCAAGAGTCAAATTATTACCCTTTATTCTCTAGCACATTTTGCTCTCTTGTTTTTCTTCATTGTTGGAATACTAATTAGTCAGAATAATGCATTTAGTAAATGCAGATCAGATCTTTTTAGAGGTTTCATAACATAAACTACTAACTTGAATATTTTAGTTATTTCAATTGGAATAAAATGTGCAGAGGTCCATCCGACCAGAGGCTAGAATGTTTGTTGGCAGAATCTCAAAGGTAAACCAATGGTAATAAACACCAATTTCAAAAATAACAAAAAAATTACAAAAACAATCGGCTCCAGTGAGTTATCTGGAACGAGAGACAAAACCAATGTCAATGTTCATCAAGTTTTTAGGCAGCACTCCTTTTCTTAATGCTGTTACAGTTCTGTACCAAAAAAGCCTGATCAGCAGAAAGATCTTTAAGTATGCATTCTGGAATGGTGGCATGTGGTTCAATTTTCTTTAATTTACCAAACAATTGAGAAAAAAAAAAAAAAATTGAGACTAATACTTAGATTACTTAAGTATTTATTTACAAATTGTATCCACATCTACCTGAATAATGTAATGTCCATGTTTGTCACAGTGGTTAACATATAAAGAAGTTGTGGTTCACAATCAAAATAATTTATTAGGAAATTTAGAAATTAGTATAAATCTTTAAAATCAAGACAACATTATATGAGTTTATTTTATATCAAATAAAAAGATAACTTAATAAAAAAAAGTTTATTAAAAGAGTGTTTTAAAGTCTTATTTAAATATTTTTTGTGTTTTGTTTTCAATTCATTAATTTATTTTTTATTTTGCATGTATTATTGTATTTCACATGTTTTATTTTATTTTATATATTTGCTTTTAAATCATAAAAATGTCATCGAAGATGAATACCTCAAGGACCTTGTCTCCTGGTTGTAACAGAGAAGCAGCAGGTCCATCAGATAAAATCTTTGTTATAAATATTCCCTTGAAAAAAAAAAAAACTTGATAAGAAGAAATATACTAATTACTAATATGTTACTTTTATTAGAAAGTTGTTAAATAAGCATATACCATATCATCTGGTCGAAACGGATTTCCAGGAGAGTTAATGCCACCAGAAACACTAAAGCCCAGATTTGGTGTTTTCTTGATGGTGACTCGAATCTAGTCAACAGAACTAATTATTCAAAAATTATCTAAACTCTTATTATTTTCAAACTATTAATTACAATTATTAATACAATTGATTATTAGTTAACAATAAAGTAAAATAAACAATAAAAAAAAAAAAAATAAAAAGAATTTTAAACGAACCAAATCAAAAACTAAAAACTTACAATATCTTCTACCTCATGGATTGTTGGGTACTCTTAAAACAAATGCATCATAAATATATATATATATATATATATATATATATATATATATATATATATATATATATATATATATATATATATATATATATATATATATATATATATATATATATATAGTATCGGACAAAACAAGTGCAACCAAATAATGCTAATTTAGTTTCTTTATATAAAAGTGCTGCATTTTTTCAATTTAGAGAAATAACTATGTAACTATTTAGAGACAACGTTTTTCAAGTTTTATTCACCACAAAGTTCATTATTTGTACACGAAAGTTAATAAATTAATCAAAATAATTCAAAAAAGTTGATTTCCTTCTGGACAAAACAAGTGCAACTCCACAAAATGTTGACCAAGCTGTATTTCGCTATCAATATTTCGTGGCAAATCCTTTGATATCGATCACAGCCTTGCATCTTCGAGGCATAGATTTGATCAGGTGATCAATGAAACTTTGTGGAATCGCTGCCCAGGCCTTTTGGATTTGTTCAAACAGTTGATCCTTATTACAAACACCTTCACGATTAATTCTGCGGTTGACGATTTTCCACAGGTTCTCGATAGGGTTGAGATCTGGAGATTGAGGCGGCCAATCCTTCACTGATAGGTGGTTGTCTTGAAACCACTGCTTGACTACTTTTGCAGTGTGTTTCGGATCGTTGTCTTGCTGAAAAACCAATTTTTTTTGAATATTCCATTCAGCATGAGGAAACATAACATTTTTCAGGATATTTTTATACATGAAATGGTCCATTATTCCATCGTTTCGATGTATTGGACCTAGATCGTTAGCAGAAAAACACCCTCAGACCATTACATTGCCTCCACCATGTTTCACGGTCTTATGTCAGTAACGTGAATCGAGGCGCTTTCCCACTGGTCGACGTACACGGCAAATACCATCGCTCCCAATGATGTTGAACTTTGATTCACCAATGAATAGGACAGTTCGCCATTTCTGCACATTCCAGTCAATATGAGATGTAGCAAACAGGAGTCTTTTCTTGTGGTTCTTTAGTGGAATCAGCGGTTTCTTTGCAGGGCGTCGAGAAAACAATCTGGTCTGATACAGGCAGCTCTGATTGCTTTTGTATATCGACTGATGATATCCAGGGATCCTTCTTGACGGATCTGACGATCATAGAACCCTCTCTAGAAGTGGTGGAATGCGGTCTTCCACCTTTGTTATCTGCTGCCAACTTCCCCATAGAACGATATTTGGAACATAGTCTTGATATGGTCCATTTTTTCACGCGATATTTATCACAAATACTTTTTTGTGACATTCCACTTACGTAATTGTTAATGATTTTCTTTCTTAGTTCCAATCTAAGACTGTCGGGAGCCATTTTTGCACTTGAAGTCATAAAAATAATAAAAAAAAATAAATAAGGCTTTTCAAGGCTTACTGTGTTACATTTACCTTGTGATGATACAATAATGGTCTTTAGAACATAACGTCTTGGTTGGATGTGGACTGTATTGATGTAATGAAACACTTGTTGTATTTCACTTCTTGTATTGATGTTCTTCGATTAAACTCTTTGATAAAACTCACTTTGATAAACTGTCTTGAAAATACTAACTGATTGACTTTCATATACTGACTGAATTACATGTCGGTTTACATGTCTCTTATATAGTAAAATGAACCTGTGTGGACCTGTTCTGGAAGATTCTAGATACTTCTTTTCGATGCTTCTGGAAGCTTCTGGGTGCGCCTGGATGCTTCTGAATGTTTGTGGATACTTCTGGATGCTTCCAGATGCTTCTTCTGGAAACTTCTGGAAGCTTCCGCATGCTTCTGGAAACTTCTGGATACTTCCTTTAATTATTAAAAAACTTCTGTGACGTTGACACAGACCAGACTTAAGAAAATGAAACAAACCAAAAAAGTTGCACTTGTTTTGTCCGCTGCAAAATGGCACTTGTCAACGAAATTCTGCCTGTGTGCTGTCACCTGTCAGCTGATTGCTCATGTCATGGCATGCTATGACTCCAGACTCCTGAACTGTTTGCTGTGGTAGTATAGTTCGTTTCATTTTTAAGACATGTAAAATTAGGAACACTTTTTAGCATTGTTCGATATTGGTTGCAAATTTTTTGTCCAATACTGTATATATATATATATATATATATATATATATATATATATATATATATATTATATATATATATATATATATATATATATATATATATATATATATATATATATATATACATATATATATATATATATATATATATATATATATATATATATATATATATATATATATATATATATATATATATATATATATATATATATATATATATATATATATCAGGCTTTCACAGGAAGATGTGCGATTTCATGTCTTTATATGACCACGCAAAAAAAAAAATGTTTTAACGATTTGACCACGGCATATTTTTGAAATTTAAAAACGCGCTACAAAAACTTACCTAAACTTATCTAAAAAAATTTTAAAAAATAATAAATATTAACAAAAGAGAAAATAAAAATAAATACTTAGTTTAAGCAAAAACACAAAAAAATAAATATATATATAAAACGCGACTAAAACAAAACTCATCAAACTAAAATGCTTAATCTATTTAACTGATGCATTAAAAAACCTTTTCAATCTTTGTTTCAACATTTTTATATATTTTTTATTTGTTTAATATGTTCAAAAAATAAATGTTTCTCATAAAAAATACATAGTTATATAGATAAAATAAAAAAACATTTTATAAATACTATTTTTTAAATTAATTAGAAGTGTTTTTTTTTTTACTTCATTAAAAGCGTTTCGATAATATAAAAGCATTTAAGATCAAACTTATTAAATTGTAACGGTTTTCTAAAACTTTTTTTTGTAACGAAATTTTGTTTATCTTTTTAAATGCATTAACTTTAATCATTCTTATATTTAAGTTCGTTAAAGAGATTTTCGTAGTCGTAGAATGTCATCGTTTATAAAAACATTGCAACTTTTTATTTTTTTATAAGATTTATTTTAGAAATGAAAACTTTAACAATTTACATGTTTTAAATTAAAAAAATATATACAACTGTCAATTATATTTAAAAAACAAAACTTTTTTTCAGTAAATTGTTACTTTATTTAAAATCGTTTCGCTAATATAAAAACATTTGTTAAGAAGTTTTGAAGTAATTAATTTCACTTTTTTAGAATATTTTTTATTTAGCGCGTTTCTAAAATGATTTTTGAATTAGCCGCGGTCAAACCGTCATAGCAAAATGTAACTTATTATTACATATAAAGACGTGAAATCGCACGTCTTCCTGTGAAACCCTGGTATATATATATATATATATATATATATATATATATATATATCAACTCATACATCACCTGTAATTAATAATTAAAAAATAAAAATCTTTTTTTTGACTACCATTCCTCCATAAGTTTGACTCCTCAATTAACTGCATGCTTCCAAGTCCAGAATCTGAACTCAGCTTAATGTTTGGTTTAACTGAAGAATCAAGATCATCATCACTGTAGCAACCAAGTGATGGAAGTTTGTATGATGAACTACTTGAGTTACTTGTAAGTCTCTAAAAATGTAATGTTAATGATGATAAATAAAAATATAAAACGTTGTAATAATAAAAATGAAGAAAAAATTTATTTTCTAAAATGCTCGCAATCTAAGATTTCCTTGCTATAGAACAAAAAATATTATTTACATAAGATTGTAGACAGATACACCTTTAAGAAAGTTTTTGTATCAATATTCTTATTACTTTGACTTGTCAATTACATAGTTTAAGCAGGGTTCAGCGGTGAAGACTTTATAATAAGGTTGTGTAACCCTGAGATGAAGGTGTTACACCATGTTTTTGAAAGTTACTTTGTACAAACATAGAAACAGCAATATCTATAGTTATAAAGTGAGGAAAGAAGTGAGAAAATAGGTTTTAGTAATAATATAGAAACAACAATATATGCAGTTATGAAGTATCTTATGAAGTGAGGAAATAGGTTTTCAGTAACTTTTTTTTATTTTTATGTTCATGAATTTTGATTACTTTTGAATATTCTAAATTAATTGAAAAAAATTCTTTAGGAAATAAAATTTTCTGTGTACATTTTTTACCAGCTACTTTATTATTTATTTAGTCGATTAAGTTTTATTATCATCACTATCACCATCATCACTATCACCAGCATATTATCAAAGTTTTATAACTATATAACCTACCATTGAATCATTGAAAAGTTTTCCTTAAGCGGGTAAATGAAAAAGAACTCTCTAATTAGCCTCATATCCACACACACTGACACACACACCCAGATTTAATTAGCTTCATCCACACTCTTACACACACACACACACACACACAAACACACACACACACACACACACACACAAACACACACACAAACACAAGCAAATCTTAGCCTTACTCATATCCACACTACTACAGTGAACAAATCTTTATAAAATTCTAAACATGTAAGCAAATTAATACATAATTTACAAACCTGAATTGACTGACTGTTGGGACGAGTAAGCGATGTATTCTGTAACTGATCCAATAACTGTTCTTCCTCATCCTCTTCACCTGTTTTTGATGATGAATTCACAGTTTCAGTTTCTAATAATCTCATAATATGTTCCGATCTTATCTAAAATTAAAAACCTTTTAAAACATTGCCTAATTTTTTTTTAGACAGTTTATTCAAACTTACATTATAGTCTTTATCTGTTTCACCCTCTGAGAATACCATCTCACCATTAGAATGGTGTTCAGTTACATGACCTTTAGCAATTGCATGCTGACGATATTGATTCACACGGTCCTTAATGTCTTTAGGAAAAGGAGTAGGTTGACGAGATAAGCGAACCTTTTAAATAGTTCAAAAGATGATTTGAGTAATGCAAAACTATGACAGAAACAAATCAATTCTCAACAAAATAATAACACTCACCACTTGAGGGTCTTCTTCGTCTATGTCAAACAAAACAGAAGTGCGCTTTTTCCATTCCTCCTCATGGTAAGTGGGTTGAAAATTTGATTGCTCGTTATCTTATAAAAGATAAAAAAAATGAAAAATGTATAAATTAAATATACTTTAAAAAAATTAGGAATATAAATATAAAAAAATTTACTTACCTGGTTCATTCTCTTCAAAAATATCACCATCATTAATAGGACGCTGAGGAAACATATAACAGGTAAGAAAACGGCGTTCATTTATAGGATCCCAGTCTGTTTGCAGTGGAATTAATGGCTTTGCCTAATATAAAACATTTTAGGTATCAATTTTAAAAAAGCAAAAGTAACAATTTTTATACCAGTATTTAAATAAAATATTAGAAGTTTAAACAAAAATAAGAAATAATGAAGTTTAAACTTAATTTGAACTTGAGTTAAATAAATTTATGTGGTAGTAGTAGAGCACTCGCCTCGGGAGAAGTTCTGAATTTGATCCCAACCAAGTTCCTGGTAGTACTGCACACAATTTATTTCTACGTCCAGCGGCCTATTTCCTTAACATTTGTGTTTTGAAGTTTTAGGGTTGGGAGGGATTGTAACCACAACTAAAGCAGTCTCCTCAACTGTGGCTTTCATGACTTTGTGGAGGTGAATTTACATTTGAATAATAAAAAAAACAAACTAAAACTTTCAATATTATAAACTACAACTTTTTTTTGGCTTAACTAACACCTTCAATATAGGCTACAATATTTTTTTGGCTTAACTAAAACCTTCAATATAGGCTACAATATTTTTTGGCCTGACTAAAGCCTTGGATATTATAGGCTACAATTTTGATATCAAATACTACAAAGCCTTTGATTATTATAGACAATAAAGCCTTTGATAGTATTGGCAATAACTTTTTTGACTTAACTAAAACCTTCAATATTGTATGCTACAACAAGAAAAAAATTTATTTTTACAATGTTTATATTTTTGAATTAGAATGGTTTTGTTTAAACAATGTCATTGTGTTAAAAATGATAAGAAAATTTCGAAAAAAACTTTCTATAATATGTGGAGGAGGGTTTTTGTCCTAAGACCACTGCAATTTCTAATATTCTATGACTTTAACAAATACATTCTAAAATTATTAAATTTGACTACAAGGCTGTAATACTTTTTGGAGACGGCATTTCCATTATTAAAAATAATCTCAAAAAAGCAGTTATAGTAAATTATAAATCTGTAATTTTACTTATGGTAACCCATATGCTAAATGCTACCTTTTCTTGAAATTAAAGCAAATTTACTAATTAAAAAATGCAGTCTATAATATTTACTTGAATTGAATATGCATAAAAAACCTATTTCCTGTTCACAGTGAAAAAAACCTGCTCATATTCCACAGAGACCACTGCTGTTGAAAAACACCAAAAGGCTAATAATTTTTTTTTTGTAATTGTTGTCACAAGCCTTTAACTCCAAAACAAGAATATTGACAAACAAGTTTGTTGCTCAGAGAAACAAATTGACAAACGAGGTTGTTGCTTGAGTGTTGCATGTTATGGCTCATATTTTAAAGGTAGCATTTTATTTAATGAATTCCTAAATTATATAATATTGATTAAGGTTCAGATCAAGATATTTTTAACATTTTTAAATCAATGATAAATTTTCAACCATTTGTTTTTATTTATGATTTTATTTTATTCTTCTACTATTTTATGCTTTTATATACACTTTTTTTATTAAATACATTTTTAACAGGACATTTATTGAAAACAGTGCCACACACTGATAAATAGATCCCATATAAATATTCATAACAAGTATATATACGAATTAACTTATATTAGTTATATATTATACATTGATTTACTTTTTTATTTATTATATATAAAAAAATTATTACTTTTTATATGTAAATTTAAAAAAAAAAACATCATAGAAAAGATTTTTATATTATTATCAAATACCTGGTTTTCTGAGAGCCAAAGCGCTTGTAACTTCTTTAATTTCATCATGGAGTATGGCAGATACTCTATCCTGTAAATTAAAAGTTTATGAGAATCAAACTTATCTTTATCACCTGAACAAATCATTATGCACAAATTCACTATTAACAAGACTATGACAAAAATTTAAATTGGAAATTACTGGGAAAAAAACAAAACAGTTAAATTTTTTACTGGGTTGTTCCATGTCAATTCAAGACTTTAATAATTTTTGGTACATTTGCGGGGAAAAAAAAAACATTACAAATATGAGTGTTCACTACATATGGTTTCAGATATTGATACTTTTTTTTCAGCGCTATTTATTTGTTAAGCACATTTTGTCACACAACTAGCTTTAACTTATGCACTTATGCAATATTTGTTCAACAGTAATGAATACTTGTACCTTACCACTTGTACCAAAATAATTTTGTGAGTAAGGAAATAATTTTTTCTAATAATTACTTTCATATGTAACAAACTCTTAAAAAAATATTCTGAAATTTTCTCTTATATACTTTCATATGTAACAAACTCTTAAAATTACAAAAATTTTCTTATTTTGATCTGATTAATTTTGATTGAAAGATTTATAATAAATACAAAAAATAAACTAAAAAAAATAACCATGAAAGTAATTAAAAGTTTTAAAATGTTTGATTAAAATTTAGTTCTCTGATTTAAAGTTCGCCTATCTGTCTTTAAAGCTTTGGTGCTTAATCTCACTAATTCTATACAATCTTTCTGTGGCAGTTGTTGGAAAATTAATTCTTAACAATTAGTTTGTTGATCGAACCCAACACACATTAACTTTTAATCTCTTCAACTAGTTCTTTCCATTATCATACATCAAACTCCAAGACTTATATTCATAAAATCAGGAAATTAAACACAAATAAACATAAACCTGAAAAAGTCAATTTACCAATTTTGTCTGCAAAAATAGTATTGAAAACTAAGTAAAGGAAGAATTCTTGGGATTAGTGGAAATTATTAGTAGTAAGGGGGCTGAAGTACTTTGTGAAAAAATTCAAGAATCTTTAATTTTAAAAGGTATTGACATTAACTTTTTAGTAATTATTTACTAAGCAAAAAAAGCATTACTCAGTACTTTTTTATCAGAAATACCTTGCTGAAGCATATCACAGAAATACCTTGCTGCAGCATATTGGCCTATTTAAATAATATCAAATTCAAAAATTGTAAATTATAAGAAGTAGCTACAACTCAGTGGCTTTTGCATGGTAAAGTAGATAATATAATTAAATCCTTTTTTAAGTCAATTGAAGCACTTGATGCCATTATACTACAAAACAATGAATCAACAGATTAAAGGGATTAGTAAACAGCTTTTAGAACTTAATAATATTTTGCCTATGGTTCTTCTGGCTGATATTCTTTACCATGTAAACAGGCTGTCGAGATTTCAAACTTAAAACCTTCTATGTAGCAGTGTCAACCATAAAGTGCAACAGTTACAACCAGTCCATCAATGACAGGTAGATTTTTAACAAAAAGCAATCAGTTTTTAAAAAGACTTTCACAAAGAAATGACTTAGGTTGCCATTTGAAAGGAAACAATACAATGATTAATGAAGAGAATTTTGTAGAGTGTGTCAATCAATTTAAGGAAATGACCAAGGAGCCGCTTCATTGATGATTTTCAGAAGGAAATCAATGTTGCTCTTAAATTGGATTATTTTATCACTTGATCTTTTAAATGTCCAGATTAAGTTTAGCAAGGCAGAAGTTTAAGCAAGGCAGAAATTTATAATGTGAAAAAATATTTTGATTAGAATTAGAACTTTTTATTTTACATTTAATTTTTGATAATTTTTTTTTTTTTTTTTTGCTTTATATTTAACTTCTTTATTTAATCTATTGAAGGATTTTTCTTGGGTTTAAACAGATTATAGAAATCCTTCAATTTCTATTCTTACTGTTTGATAAACTTTTTATAACATCTTTTGAGTTGCTCTTAGAAAAAAGAAATTATAAAAAGTTTAACATGCAGTTTAAAATCAAGAGCAAGTCTTGAGTGACTAGTCACAGAATGTATTTTAAAAGGATTTTCATGGAGATCAAAAAAGAACTAAGATTTTAAAAATTTCTTTGGTAATAAGTTCATTAATTGTATCTTCATTGGCTGCAGACTGGTTTTCCTGGTCCATCATCTTTATATGAAGTCAATTTAATCTTACATGAAAGACACCTTTCTTCCAGGAATGACATCTATACTAATGTTTTTTAATTCATCATCAAACTAAATATTAATTTTCTTACTTTCACCAAGAAAAATTTGTTAAAAATTTGAAAAAATTGTTAAAACTTTTCTAATGATGTCATTATTATAATTTTTTCACCAAGGGAAAATAAGATTGTTAAAACTTTTCTAATGATGTCATTATTATAATTTTTTCACCAAGGGAAAATAAGATTGTTAAAACTTTTCTAATGATGTCATTATTATAATTTTTTCACCAAGGAAAATAAGATTGTTAAAACTTTTCTAATGATGTCATTATTATAATTTTTTCACCAAGGAAAATAAGATTGTTAAAACTTTTCTAATGATGTCATTATTATAATTTTTTCACTAAGGAAAAATAAGATTGTTAAAACTTTTCTAATGATGTCATTATTGTAATTTTTTCACCAAGGGAAAATAAGATTGTTAAAACTTTTCTAATGATGTCATTATTATAATTTTTTCACCAAGGGAAAATAAGATTGTTAAAACTTTTCTAATGATGTCATTATTATAAATTTTTCACCAAGGAAAATAAGATTGTTAAAACTTTTCTAATGATGTCATTATTATAATTTTTTCACCAAGGGAAAATAAGATTAAAACTTTTCTAATGTCATTATTATAATTTTTTAACCAAGGGAAAATAAGATTAAAACTTTTCTAATGATGTCATTATTATAATTTTTTCACCAAGGGAAAATAAGATTGTTAAAACTTTTCTAATGATGTCATTATTATAATTTTTTCACCAAGGGAAAATAAGATTAAAACTTTTCTAATGATGTCATTATTTTAATTTTTTAACCAAGGGAAAATAAGATTAAAACTTTTCTAATGATGTCATTATTATAATTTTTTCACCAAGGGAAAATAAGATTGTTAAAACTTTTCTAATGATGTCATTATTAATATTTTTTCACCAAGGAAAAATAAGATTGTCAAAACTTTTCTTATGATGTCATTATTATAATTTTTTCACCAAGGGAAAATAAGATTGTTAAAACTTTTCTAATGATGTCATTATTATAATTTTTTCACCAAGGGAAAATAAGATTAAAACTTTTCTAATGATGTCATTATTATAATTTTTTCACCAAGGGAAAATAAGATTGTTAAAACTTTTCTAATGATGTCATTATTATAATTTTTTCACCAAGGGAAAATAAGATTAAAACTTTTCTAATGATGTCATTATTTTAATTTTTTAACCAAGGGAAAACAAGATTGTTAAAACTTTTCTAATGATGTCATTATTATAATTTTTTCACCAAGGGAAAATAAGATTGTTAAAACTTTTCTAATGATGTCATTATTATAATTTTTTCACCAAGGAAAAATAAGATTGTCAAAACTTTTCTTATGATGTCATTATTATAATTTTTTCACCAAGGGAAAATAAGATTGTTAAAACTTTTCTAATGATGTCATTATTATAATTTTTTCACCAAGGGAAAATAAGATTAAAACTTTTCTAATGATGTCATTATTATAATTTTTTCACCAAGGGAAAATAAGATTAAAACTTTTCTAATGATGTCATTATTATAATTTTTTCACCAAGGGAAAATAAGATTAAAACTTTTCTAATGATGTCATTATTATAATTTTTTAACCAAGGGAAAATAAGATTAAAACTTTTCTAATGATGTCATTATTATAATTTTTTCACCAAGGGAAAATAAGATTGTTAAAACTTTTCTAATGATGTCATTATTATAATTTTTTCACCAAGGAAAAATAAGATTGTTAAACCTTTTCTTATGATGTCATTATTATAATTTTTTCACCAAGGGAAAATAAGATTGATAAAACTTTTCTAATGATGTCATTATTATAATTTTTTCACCAAGGGAAAATAAGATTAAAACTTTTCTAATGATGTCATTATTATAATTTTTTCACCAAGGGAAAATAAGATTGTTAAAACTTTTCTAATGATGTCATTATTATAATTTTTTCACCAAGGAAAAATAAGATTGTTAAAACTTTTCTAATGATGTCATTATTATAATTTTTTCACCAAGGGAAAATAAGATTAAAACTTTTCTAATGATGTCATTATTATAATTTTTTCACCAAGGGAAAATAAGATTAAAACTTTTCTAATGATGTCATTATTATAATTTTTTCACCAAGGGAAAATAAGATTGTTAAAACTTTTCTAATGATGTCATTATTATAATTTTTTCACCAAGGGAAAATAAGATTAAAACTTTTCTAATGATGTCATTATTATAATTTTTTCACCAAGGGAAAATAAGATTGTTAAAACTTTTCTAATGATGTCATTATTATAATTTTTTCACCAAGGGAAAATAAGATTAAAACTTTTCTAATGATGTCATTATTATAATTTTTTCACCAAGGGAAAATAAGATTGTTAAAACTTTTCTAATGATGTCATTATTATAATTTTTTCACCAAGGAAAAATAAGATTGTTAAAACTTTTCTTATGATGTCATTATTATAATTTTTTCACCAAGGGAAAATAAGATTGTTAAAACTTTTCTAATGATGTCATTATTATAATTTTTTCACCAAGGGAAAATAAGATTAAAACTTTTCTAATGATGTCATTATTATAATTTTTTCACCAAGGGAAAATAAGGTTAAAACTTTTCTAATGATGTCATTATTATAATTTTTTCACCAAGGGAAAATAAGATTGTTAAAACTTTTCTAATGATGTCATTATTATAATTTTTTCACCAAGGGAAAATAAGATTAAAACTTTTCTAATGATGTCATTATTTTAATTTTTTCACCAAGGGAAAATAAGATTAAAACTTTTCTAATGATGTCATTATTATAATTTTTTCACCAAGGGAAAATAAGATTGTTAAAACTTTTCTAATGATGTCATTATTATAATTTTTTCACCAAGGGAAAATAAGATTGTTAAAACTTTTCTAATGATGTCATTATTATAATTTTTTCACCAAGGGAAAATAAGATTAAAACTTTTCTAATGATGTCATTATTATAATTTTTTCACCAAGGGAAAATAAGATTAAAACTTTTCTAATGATGTCATTATTATAATTTTTTAACCAAGGGAAAATAAGATTAAAACTTTTCTAATGATGTCATTATTATAATTTTTTCACCAAGGGAAAATAAGATTGTTAAAACTTTTCTAATGATGTCATTATTATAATTTTTTCACCAAGGAAAAATAAGATTGTTAAAACTTTTCTTATGATGTCATTATTATAATTTTTTCACCAAGGGAAAATAAGATTGTTAAAACTTTTCTAATGATGTCATTATTATAATTTTTTCACCAAGGAAAAATAAGATTGTTAAAACTTTTATAATGATGTCATTATTATAATTTTTTCACCAAGGAAAAATAAGATTGTTAAAACTTTTCTTATGATGTCATTATTATAATTTTTTCACCAAGGAAAAATAAGATTGTTAAAACTTTTCTAATGATGTCATTATTATAATTTTTTCACCATAGAAAAATAAGATTGTTAAAACTTTTCTAATGATGTCATTATTATAATTTTTTCACCAAGGGAAAATAAGATTAAAACTTTTCTAATGATGTCATTATTATAATTTTTTCACCAAGGGAAAATAAGGTTAAAACTTTTCTAATGATGTCATTATTATAATTTTTTCACCAAGGGAAAATAAGATTGTTAAAACTTTTCTAATGATGTCATTATTATAATTTTTTCACCAAGGGAAAATAAGATTAAAACTTTTCTAATGATGTCATTATTTTAATTTTTTCACCAAGGGAAAATAAGATTAAAACTTTTCTAATGATGCCATTATTATAATTTTTTCACCAAGGGAAAATAAGATTGTTAAAACTTTTCTAATGATGTCATTATTATAATTTTTTCACCAAGGAAAAATAAGATTGTTAAAACTTTTCTTATGATGTCATTATTATAATTTTTTCACCAAGGAAAAATAAGATTGTTAAAACTTTTCTTATGATGTCATTATTATAATTTTTTCACCAAGGGAAAACAAGATTGTTAAAACTTTTCTAATGATGTCATTATTATAATTTTTTCACCAAGGGAAAATAAGATTAAAACTTTTCTAATGATGTCATTATTATAATTTTTTCACCAAGGGAAAATAAGATTAAAACTTTTCTAATGATGTCATTATTATAATTTTTTCACCAAGGGAAAATAAGATTAAAACTTTTCTAATGATGTCATTATTATAATTTTTTAACCAAGGGAAAATAAGATTAAAACTTTTCTAATGATGTCATTATTATAATTTTTTCACCAAGGGAAAATAAGATTGTTAAAACTTTTCTAATGATGTCATTATTATAATTTTTTCACCAAGGAAAAATAAGATTGTTAAAACTTTTCTTATGATGTCATTATTATAATTTTTTCACCAAGGGAAAATAAGATTAAAACTTTTCTAATGATGTCATTATTATAATTTTTTAACCAAGGGAAAATAAGATTAAAACTTTTCTAATGATGTCATTATTATAATTTTTTCACCAAGGGAAAATAAGATTGTTAAAACTTTTCTAATGATGTCATTATTATAATTTTTTCACCAAGGAAAAATAAGATTGTTAAAACTTTTCTAATGATGTCATTATTATAATTTTTTCACCAAGGGAAAATAAGATTAAAACTTTTCTAATGATGTCATTATTATAATTTTTTCACCAAGGGAAAATAAGATTAAAACTTTTCTAATGATGTCATTATTATAATTTTTTCACCAAGGGAAAATAAGATTGTTAAAACTTTTCTAATGATGTCATTATTATAATTTTTTCACCAAGGGAAAATAAGATTAAAACTTTTCTAATGATGTCATTATTATAATTTTTTCAACTTAATCAAACATACATGATATTTTTGCAAAAAAATTTTCAGCATAAAGTTATAAAAAAAAAAAGTTATAAAATAGTTTTAAAAAGTTCTTACAAATAGTCTAAAAGGTCTTTAAAATTCTTCGCCTTTTTCCGTTGTGTGAATTAAATGTATCAAAGCAAATTATGTGGATTGTGCAGTAACACTTCTTTTATTCTTGTGATCAAACAAACTAGTGTTGAATGTTTTAATGTTCAACATCATTCTTCATAATGCAGAAACATTCTTTATATCTCAATATCATTGCTTATAACAAATTTATTTATTTTTTTACTTAATTATTCAATTATTTTATAATTTAATTAATTTAGCAATAAACAATTTATTGTTTAGTTTGAATAATTTAGTTAAAAGAAGTTAAAATTATTTTTTTTGCGTATTTTGAGTAAAATTTTCATGTATTTTTTTAAAATGAAAACTTTTAATTTTACTTATAAGTTTGGAAAAATATAATTTTACAATAAAAAAAAAGTTTAAAAAATAACTTTAAAAAAACTTTAAAATAACTATTATTTGAAAATTGATAAAAATAGACAACCCTTCAATAGACAACCCATAAGCAACCAGATATTATAAACTTTGTATAAAAATGTGTATTTTTTTGTTACTAAAAAGCAACTTTATTTTTAAGGATTATTTTCATAAAATTTTAATGCAAATAAATCAGAATAAAAAAAAAAAAAAAAAAAAAAAAAAAAATTTTGAGACAGAGTATTGATAACTCTAAAGTTGTAACCCAGAGTATTGATAACTCTAAAGTTGTAACCCTGAAGGTTAGAAACTAAAAAAATGGAGCATAATTTGAAGTGTAAATTTGTATATCAAAATCATTAAAATCTGAAATAGCATGTCAAAAAAAAATTTTTTTTAAGTGCTTTGACATGGACCCTACTACAAAAATTATACAAAGTTTAGTATTTTTGTAAAATTTACACTTGGCAATTCAGTTAAGGAATACAAAGAGATGAGCATGACATGTAATTATGTAATAACTGACAATACTAAGTTAGTAATAGGTACTAAACTATGTAATAACTGACACAAATAAGTTAGTACAAAGTACTAAAGTATGTAATAACTGATAGTACTAAGTTAGTACAAAGTTCCAGTGTGTATATAAAAATTTTCAATAATAAAAAGTAAACATTTGTAGCTCAATCATTGTAATATAGTAAATGTAAAAAAAATATAGAAATAATAACTTACATATTAGAACTGATCATTAAAACAACCAAGTTGGCTAATCTGCCAAAGTCATCAGGTATATGAACTAGCCGGTTTTGTCTTAATGAAACAATTGTCAAACCAATACAGCTTCCTATCTAAATTTAAAATTTGAAAATGTGCTATCTACAAAATGATTGATTTAAGTCCATAATGCCTTAAGTTACTTTTTAATATAGTAGTTGTTGATATTTAGGATGCATAAAATAGAAAAAAAAAGTACCTTAATAATAACTATTATAATAATTAAATAATTATAAATATTGCAACACAACATAGTTTATGTACTTAATTAATATAAAAGCAAGTATTTTTATCTCGATCTCTTTTGATTATTTGACTCCATCATCTCTGATATTTTGACTCTATCATCTCCATCATCTCTAACTTTTTGTCTTTATCACCGCTGAACTTTTATCTCCATCTCCTCTGATTTTATATCTCCACCACCTCTGATCTTTCTCTCCATCAACTTTGGACTTTTGTTACCATCACTTTTTATCTTTTGCCTCCATCATTTCTGATCTTTTGTCTCCATCACCTCTGATCTTTTATCTCTATCTTATAAGTATAAACTGTACTCCTTTTATCTTTTGAGCTTTTGCACTTATGATATTTGTTTAATAGAATAAATAAAATAAAAAATTAAATAATTCATTCATTAAATGCAAATAAATATCCTTTTCATTTCTATTGCAACAATATATTTTTTTTTTTGATTTAGCAAAATAAATTAGAATGTAATAGAATAAACTAAATTAGAATAAAATATACTGAGATCCATCCAACCAGGACCGTTTTAACTTTATTTTAAACCAGCAAGGATACACACTAACACCATTTATAAAACAACATTGTATGGTACAATAAAAACGGTCGCCCTTGTCATAAAGCTTTAGGAAATTTAAACTTATATAATAATAACTTAAGTAGTTAACATCGTTAGATAACATCGTGATAAATTAATTACTAAAACTATTCATAGATATATTAATTAGGTAACTACATAAAAGTAGGTATACAAACTAACCTCATCAGGTAAGTATTCTATAAAGTTGTCATCAACATTAAGGGTATGGAGCTTTCGTAACAACCCGATACCTGGAGGCATTGTCTAAATAAAAAATATGTTGTAATTAAAAATATTGAAAACTCTTCATATAAAAATTAAAAACATTAAATGCATAATCTTTTGAATGAATAAATTGCCCCTATGGTACACGATACATGTTCATCTAATTAGCTGTTACACTATGATACCTACATGATGTTACACTTGTTACACTATGATGATGATACACATGTTACACTATGATACAAGCTCATTTAACTGTTAAATAAGTTTATATATATAAGGTTATATACTACTTATATATGTAAAAAAACTTATTTATAATGTATATATGATATAATACATACAGACACATGTTTAATAATCCATAACGCATTTAAACCAAATGAACGTATATGTAAATTCAAATAAATATACATCCCTTTGACAAACAGTCTTAATTACTCAAAAGAATAATTTGTAAAACAGCACAAAGCCAAGAATATATAGCAAAAATACCTCAAGTTGATTTCTATTGCATATAAGCTCTCTTAAACTTGACAGACTAAAATAAAAAAATATCATTTCTATAATAAACTATTTATTTATAAAATCTTTAAAATATTTAAATGTTACCAATTTTTAACCAAATCTTTGCCTAGTATAAATTTTTTAATTTTTATAAATTGCCTTTCTCTGATGATTCCAAAAATTTAAAATTTTTTTTTGTATCATCAACCTTTTAAAAAGTATATTTTAGCACCAAAGAGGTAACAGAGCGATGTATGGGCATACATCATCAATGGATCACAAAACTATTTCTTATTTTCTTTATAATTTAAAATTTTTTAAATTTTAAGTTAAAACATATGAAGTAACCTTATCTTGTTTTAAAATGATCTCAATTAAATGATTTTAAATAAATGATTGTAAAGGTTTTTATAAGATCATTAAAGAAACCATTTATGAAAAATAAAACTTTATTCACACTTTGCTTTATACTCAATACTTCACAAATATTTTTTTAAGAAATAATCTGCAAGATCTAAGCAAGATCTTGCAGGTGGCAAGATCTTGCCACCTAAGTAGACAAGAGAAATCATTGGGACCTAGGGATGAAAATGTCTATTAAATTGACCCACAAGTTACTTAAAATTGTAAAATTTTATATAAAAGTGAGTAAATATTTACATTATTTTACGATTTTACTCAATTTAACGATGTAATTGATTAATGGAACATGTGCCTTTTTTATAAAAAAATTTGAAATGAATTCTTTACACATAAAAATCCTCCTGTTTTTATAAGCAATCTTTACATATAAAAATATTTGTTTTTTAAAAACATTTGATAAAAATAATACAAAATAAAACTTGTTAACCTAAAAAAGATTTTATCATTTATTTTTTGTACAATATAAAAATTGTACAACAATAAAAAAATTTTTTAATGTTAAAAAAACATAAAAATTTTTTTATGTTATACACAAGCTCAAAAGATAGGCTAACACTGAAAAAATCTACTTAAGCATTTTATTGCTTTTTTTAACAAATGCATGATTCTTAAATTGATAAACATGATTAAAAAATTGACTTAAAAATGTTTTGAATTTGTGGGTCTTTATTTTATATTTTTAGTTGAAATATTTAATACCCAAAATGATAATATTGAGATATTGATACCCAAATATTACAATGATAAAACATAATTTTGAAACAAATTTTATAAAAGTTTATTGTAATAATTTTTTTTTGAAAATTTCCAGAAATTTTGAGAAATTTTTCGTGAAAACTTCAGGAAATTTTAAACACTAATCCAAGGACAATTAAATGATTTTGATAGAGACCTGGATCTGGATAAAAAATCAATAAAAAGCTTCTCACCCCAAGATTAAAGTAGAACACAACAAAATTGATTCTCCAGAACATTGATTCTCCAGATCATATTTTAAAAGTGCGGATGATTTGGATAAAATATCCGAAAAAATCTGGAATATAATTTTTTTTCATTTTCCTTTTAATTGCTTTTAGTTAAGTTGTTTCTAACGTTTTTTTCAAACTTTCCTTTATTTATTATGAGTGCTGAGTGTAAAAGTTAAAAAAAACAAATACATGACAAAAATATACACCTAAACTTGTATGTATGAAAAACATTAAAAACTAAAAATTGAGAAAATTATCCAGAACTCCAGAAATATCTGGAAAAAGATAATCCCTGAGCACTATAGCAAATTTGACTTGACACTAAAGTCTGCATAGGTCCCAGGAACAAGGAGTGTCCAGTCTGTTCCTTTAGTTGATCCCCAAAGATCTTCCTATCACCTCTTCTCATTAAACTTAGTTTAAAGAAGAATTTTGTTAAAACTAATTTCTTTCTAACTTCTTTATTGGTTTCCAATATCTTTCTGAGAAATTGTATTAAAGTCAATTCACAAGGGCTCCAATATATTTCTGAGAAATTTTAGAAAGTGCAGCCAAGTGAAGTTGGGGTTATTTTTTGAGCCACAAATTAGGAAGGTTTTATTGGATATTAAATTTGAAAGAACCCTCATTTCACTGGAATTGAATGCTTGGCTGGCTTTTAAATGGATATAATCAAACTTTCAGGAAAGAACAAACTATACGCATATAAGGATGGGATTAAGAAATTTATTGATGCTTATAAAAAAATGGATTGTCGAATATTTTAAAAATTTAATTGTTTTAAAAAATTCAATTTCTGCATTTCTAAAATTTTTAGAATTGAGTGACAAGCAAGCAAGCTTTCACCAAGATATTAAAGTATGAAAGTTTGCTACTAAGGACTTTGGAACAAAAAGATGATGGTTGACCAATGTTGGATGTTGTGAAATTCTAAACCAAATGTTTAGATAAAAAGCTTTTAAGATCTTGTAATGTGTATACAACTTGTTTACAAATATGTTCAAAACTATATTTAATGTAAATTTTTTGCATTCAACATTACGTGTTAATTTAGTGTAAAATAAATAATTTATTTCTTGCAAATAAATGATTTACTTAAATTGTAATTTATTACACCCTAGATTTTCATAAAATTACTAATACTTTCATGGAATATGGGGAGAAAAAAAAGTTAAATGAGCGAGAACAAAACTGTAAAAAATTTGGATAAAGCATCAAAAGTACTTATTTTTGTCTGTTATGAAAAAAAGTTTCATTTTGTTGACCAGTCTAATATTAAAAATAAAAAAAGAATATTATTTTTATTATAATAATAACAATTAAATAACAATATTTTTACCCTCCAATAGAAGTTGGAAGATGAGTCAGCTGATTCTCATCAACTTTTAATATCTCCAACATTTTCAATTTACCTTTAAAATATTAAAACCCTTTAAAAATAAATTAGACATATTATTTTTATATATAGTTTATATATTTCGTTTACTTTTACTTTACATTACTAATTGATAGAAATGTAAAGTAAAATTGATAGAAATTGATATCAATTGACTGATAGAAATGTAAAGTAAAATTAAACAATAATAAGCTGTACAAAACAAAAACTAGTTACTAGTTAATACTGTTTACTTTTTTAAAAAATTTAAACGATGGTTTAAATACACTACTTTGAATGGCCATAATCAAGTTTTTCTTTCAGTATTTTATATCCTTGTACTTTTTTCTTGTTTTTTTACATGTGCATTTTTTTATTAAATTCTTATATTTATACTAAACATACTTTTATTATTTTTCTCTTTGATTATAAACTTTAAATATTTAAAATAAATTCGTTATAAATACAATACTTTATACTTGATATATAGTCGAGACTTATTAATCTTTTATGTATGTATTTATGTATGTATGTATGTATGTATGTATGTATGTATGTATGTATGTATGTATGTATGTATGTATGTATGTATGTATGTATGTATGTATGTATGTATGTATGTATGTATGTATCTATGTTAGTATATAACTATGTATGCATGTATGTAATAAATTAAGTTTTAGCTAATTTTATTTTATAATATTAGTATTGACTGAAATGTTATTTTCATTAACACAATATTGTTGTCTGTCTTTAAGTCTGTTTGCTTAAATTAATGTATTATTTTGTATATGTATACTTATGTAATGTATACTTAAAATAAACCTACTGTAGCTAAGAAATTTTAATGAGAAAAATTGATGCTTCTAATTATTTAAATATGGATATATATATATATATATATATATATATATATATATATATATATATATATATATATATATATATATATATATATATATATATATATATATATATGTGTGTGGTGTATAACAAATTTTACCCTATACTCTAAAAGCTGAGAGTGTTTTTGGAACAAATTTATATTTATAAATTTAAAAACATATCTTTTCAGCACTAAAGATTTCAAGTAAAACCTTTATCACTCAAGTTAAGTTAAAGCACAATAACTGAACTGATGTCACAATTGATTGCACAACATAACTCTACTACATATTATGACATATATATATATATATATATATATATATATATATATATATATATATATATATATATATATATATATATATATATATATATATATATATATATATATATGTATATATATATATATATATACATATATATATATATATACATACACACATATATATATATATATATATATATATATATATATATATATATATATATATATATAACTAAAAATATTGCAAGTAAAAAAGCCAAAAAAAATCTAGTTACATAAACTTTCTGGCAACTGAACGAGATTATTAGCAGTCAAATACAAATCTGTTAGCATTTCGCAGCCTTCAATTTCATTGCAAATCCACTCTAATTTATTTTCACTTGCATCAAGATATTCAAGGTTAATCAAGTTGCCAATTTCCTAAGAAAAAGAAATTGTTTTTAGATATACTTGAAAATAAGGGAAGATAAAAAAAAAAAAAATTAAAGTTTAACCCTACTCAATTGAAAACATATTTTTTAATCAGATTGTCTTTGGTAGTAAAGGTTTAAGGTCAAAGATTTCTTTTAAATTCTATATAAACAGGTTTGACTTCTTCACTAATAATAATCTTTGTTATTCTACGTTATGAGATTCATGTATTTAGTTTATGCTGATTAAAGTTTCCTTAGACTATTTGTTGCAATTTGTTTGTTATCTTTTTGAAATTTCTTTTTCTTTATAAGTTTTGCGACTCTATCAGAAACATTTCCTTATGTTTTTTGCTTTAAAAAATTTAGACTTCTATACAAAATACTATCTACTACAAACTCACATGATTATTTTATAGTATATAATATTATATAACTTTTTTATGGCTGTTAAATATAATCTAACAAGAATCTCTTAAACCTAATTGAACAGGAGCCATGAATCTTGAAATAAAATATAAACAAAATAAACTTAAAAAAATTGAAAATTAAAAAAAAAAAAATA